GTGTGACATTGTAGCCTAGGAGACTACAGTCCTTCACGTTCTCCATTGTATTTGGGGGGCAGGACCCAGGCTTTGTTGTGTGTTTTTGAGACAGGGTCTTACTAAGTGCCCCGGCTAGATTTTAACTCACCATTTTACTTCCTTCGCCTCCTAAGCCCTGGGATTACAGGGGGCACCACTGCCCTCTGCTGCATTTCAGGCTCTTCTTATGGCTGCTGAAGTGAAGACGATGTCCCAGGGGAGTAACAGGACACACAGGAATCAGTGCATCTGTTAATCCTCCAGAGTGCCTCGGCTGCACTGCCTGCAGCCGCAGAGCCAGGGCAAGGCCAGGTAGGAAGGACCCCGGGCAGTGCTCAGCCCCCACCTCTGGCTGCCTCCTGCAGAGCTGTGGAGAGGGATCCTGGGGTGGAGGCAGTGCAGCCGCAGGAAGCCCGGCCCCTGTGAGGTGGGCCTGGCCCTTTCCTGTTTGCATTGTTCCCGGGCAGAGGCCCTGTGCCTCCCCACGGAAGTTCAAGTCAAGGCTGAGACAAGGACTGGAGTCTGGACGGGCACTGCCTGAGCAGTCACCTTAGCTGGGCAAAGCCTCCATCTGTGTGCGGGTTCAGCGGAGGTGGGGGAGGTGGTGGAAGTGGTTCCGACCTTGATGTCAGGCCCTGCCGCTCCCCAGCTGTGTGGCCTCCAGCTGGTACCGAGTACCTTGGCTGTCTGAGCCTCGGCTTTTCTTCCTGTAAATGGGCCAACACAGCTCTGTCCTCTGCGGCTTGTGTTAGAGCCAAGCACATAGAAGACCCACAGGCGCACACAAGTCTGTCCTCCTAAGCCCTCACGTGGCCACACACAGATGCCAGTGGCTCTCCGTGAAAAAACAACTGTTTGTTCTTTTCCCTTTGGCAGTGCTGGGGTTTGAACTCAGGGCCTCACCCTTGCTAGGCAGGTGCTCTACCACTTGAGCCACACCTCCAGCCCCTTTGGCTTTAGTTATTTTTAGGTAGGGTCTCCAGTGTTTTGCCCAGGGCTGTCCTGGACTGTGAACCTCTTACCTATACCTCTTGCATAGCTGGGATTACAGCTAGGTACCGCTATGTATGGTTTGTTTGTTGTTTGTTGAGATTGAGTCTCACTGACTTTTTGCTTGAGCTGCAATCCTCTGATAGCTGCCTCAACTCTCTGTTCTGGAATTATCCATTTTCTCTTCCTTACCCAAAGCTGGGCACCTGAGTCCTCACCCTGTCCCTCCTGAGAAGAGCCTGGCACCTGACACACACTGGCCTGTACCTGGTCCCTAAGGTTGTATCGTAGTCCCCCATCCTCTGGGGGTGACTGATGTTGACTTTCATGGCAGAGTGGCCACAGGACCCCTCTGAGTCGTGCCTGGTTTGGTCATCCATCCTACTGGGACACAGCCTTGTGGGCTCATGTGTCCCTGAAGCACCTTTTGTGCTGTAGCCTCAGAGTTGACATCTGGGACAGATGTCTGGCCCCAGAGCTACCAGCTGCTTTCTAGGCCCTACTGAGGCACTTGGGAGCCTCAACAAAGAGGAAAAAACAGAGTCCCAGGACATTAAAGGGTCCTGGCAGTCCCTACCTCCCAGCACCCCACGTGCCTTAGTTCCAGTGTCCCTTCCAGTCTTTGCCTGTGTGATGTCACGTCAGGACAGTGATGCTGGTGGGCACCGCTCGCTCCTGTCGAGTGCTGGCGGTGGCCAGTCTTACAGACGCGTGTGGCTGTCCTGGCATGGCTAAGCCGCAGCACCCGGGCAGGCACAGGAATGTCACCGAGGGGTTTAGTGCAGCTGTCCACCTCCTCTCTTGTCCCGCAAGAGAGGAATTTAGGCCAGACGTGACGATACAGAGAAGGGACAGCAGCACTTACTGGAGAGCAAAAGCGACCGTCCCTAGAGCGAGAGCGACAGTTGTCAGCGTTTGGGGCTAGGATGGGGCTGGTTGGGCTTGGGATGGGAACCGCAGCCTTAGGTTCTTGACGCCCAGGGCTTGGCTCACTCTGGAGTGAGGGTGCGCGGAGGGTGGAGTGAGGGTGGTGATGCGTCCTGTGATGCTGGCATGGTGGCCACTTGATCCAGACCGAGGGTGCTTCATCAGAAAGTTCAGGGACAAGGTTCTTCTCCCAGAGACCTTGGATGTGCTCCACGTTCTGCTTCCTTTGTACCCCATCACTCAAGGTCACCTTTTACCAAAGAGGAACCCGAGGCTTGGCCCCACACTGACCCAGGACACCCAGCGGGGGTGACCTCCAGGCCCAGAGCTTCCCACTCCTGGTTTGCATCCCCCGGAGGGCGAAGGGGGCCTCTGAGGGTGAGGCAGGGGTGGTCTGGGGGCGCTGCCTGTGTTGTTTTAGGGAAATGAGTCAGGGAACAGATGCTGGGTTTAGAAGTACAGGTCCCCTGCCAACCAGCTGCCTGTCCTTAGACAGGCCCCACTACCTCCCTGAGCCACAGAGAGTGGGTGACTCAGAAGGGAGCCTGTGGTATTGGGGGAGGTGATGTACGTGACCTATGTAGAGAGCACAGTGGCAGGAGCACCACGAGGGCGCTGTCCCCAGCTCTGCATGCCCAAGCCCCAGAGTGACGCCGCGGCTTTTCTGGGGGCTTTGTTGCTGGGGTTCTCCGATTCCCAGGGGCCTTGCTCCAGAGAGCTCTGTCACTGCTCTGTGCGGGGGCTAGGGTGGGGCAGGCAGAGCCATGGGACGACCACAGGGCTGAGCTGGGCCCAAGGGCATAGTCCCCATCCAAGGCCACCGTAAGCAGTGACTGCTGCCAGCTTCCCTCCCCCAGTGTCGCCTCTGGAACCTCAGATCTGCTGAGCAAGGAGGAGCAGCACTGTTTTAGAACATCCACAGGGGTCTGAACCAAATGTCCCCTCCATCTTCCCCATCTCTGAGCATCTGTCACTGTTGTCAGCCCACTGCCAGGTCCTTTGGCCCCCACTAGGACAGTTGTGGGGACAGAGCTGCATTGTGAAACTGACTTTCCTCTTCCTGTGTGACTTCTGTGGGTCCCCTGCATCGCTAGTTCCCATTCAGCAGATGGGGAGAAAACCATACCCCACAAACCACCTGCTGTGACAGCAGCCACTGTGGTGGACACCACTCCGATTCTGCCTCACTGATCCACCTCCAGAGTCCAGGCGGCCACCTCCTCGGTCCCACTGGCTACACCTGTGGGCCTCCTGGAAGTTCAGAAAGGTTCACACATGCTGTGTGTCATGGTCACACAGCAGGGATTTGAACCCAAGCAGTCAGGCCTGTCTTGGGCCTGGTGTGCAGATGTAGAAACTACTGGTCACTTTAGGATGATGTCGTCTAGAAAGACAGCGTGACGGACAGCACCAGGAACGTGTGCTGGGAAGGGTGTCCCCAGCCCCCACCCCACACATGCAGCTCTGTGCGCTGGTTAGTTCAGCTGTGCGCACCCCGTGTACACGAGCTGCACTAAGTGACCTCCAGTCCCTTGGACAACGTCATGCCGTGTAAGTGGCCGTCGAGCCGTGCTGTTTACAGAACACATGGAAGCCATTGGCTCTCCAAGTGTTTTCCAGGACACTGCCGAGTGTGTGGATGTGACCACGTCACAGGTGACATCCACACCGTTCCTAGCTCAGGGCCTTGCAGGCACCCTGGGCTGGACTTGGCTTGCAGTCATAATTTGGGGACTGCATTCTAGACCTGTGCTGTCCACTGCGGCCACCGTCGGCCACGTGGCTGAATTTTACATGAAGGAAAGAAGTGAGAAGTAGTGGCTACGCGGTGAGCATGGAGGTGAGCAAGACGAGGGCCTCACAGCCGGTCTCAAAGGGCTGCTGTCGCTGGAGTGGAGGCCGGGCCGTGACCGGGGCCACTGGTATTCCAAGGGCCCCTGAGGGTGGCCAGACCTCCAGAAGAGCTGCACTGGCAGGGAGTGGTCACCACTGTGCCCAGGGTGACCTGTAGTGTGGGGACTGTTGTGGGGGTGTGTTTACAGCTGGGCCCCTCTCTAGCAGGGCCTAGAGGTTTTCACTGGGCTGGGGCTTGTGGATAGGACAAGTTAGAGAGGCGGGAATGAGGGAAGACAAGGGCGGAGCGCAGCACACACTCTGGGGTGAGTACAAGTCGTCCTCGTTGGTGCTGGCCTTGCACCGAGCCTCCCCGAGCCCTCTCCACAGAACAGGAAGACCCCAGCTCCAGGGAGTGGGACTCTGCTCTTAGGGAGCCGTCCCTGCCCCGCCCACCACCTGGACCAGGGACAGAGGAGGGAGGTCGCGCCCCATGCTCAGTGCAAGACTGTGAAGCCGTTTCCACTCCCAGGCCTCAACTGTCCCTTCTGCGAGGTGGGAATTGGGCTTCCATTCAGATAAGGGCACAGCCCTGAGCTGTCTGCTCTGCCCCCTCGCTCCCACGCTGGCCGTGTCCCTGACCTGGTGGGGACAGTGGGCACTGGGATCACAAGTCCAGATGGGGAACCGGCTCTGTGCATTCTTGGTCAGTTGCTCTCCCTCTTGGTGGTGTAAAATTGAGACCATCGTGGCCTTTGTCTGGTTGGGTTTCAGGGACATGGGCTGCCGTTTCAGCAGCAGCCGCTGGACGGTAGGTGCTGGGGACAAGGCGTGGTGCAGCTCCGAGGACCTTATCACCAGAGGCTCGGGGCACGGTACCCTTTGCAGTCGTGCAGGGCACAGCCCCATCAGCCATGCCCGGCAGTCCCAGGTGGCCACAGGGTGGTCATGGCGTTTGTTGTTAGACTTACTTCTGAAGCCCAGGGGCTCGCGAGGAAGGGAGAGGCCTGGCTGGCAGGGACCAGGGCTCCCCGAGGCCAGCTCTTGGCTCGCACTCTGTCTGTGAGGTGAGTACGTCCTGGGAGCAGGCGGCTCAGACCCCGCCGCGGCATCCGCCCCTAGTCCCTCCCGAGGGCGCTCGCTCCGAGGAGCACAGTCCTTCTGCCCACCTGTCTGAGGGCAGCGTCACCTCCACGCCCTCCTGACGCAGTCTCTCCTTTGTCCTGCAGGCCGGTGCCGGTGCTGGCAGCCAGGGGGCAGGAGCTGCCCCAAGGGCTGGAGCCCCGAGATGAGCGCGCCCGGGGGAGGTGAGTCACCCTGACCAGGCCCTCAGACGCAGCCCTGGGCACGGTGCCCCCACACCTCCGGCCTCCGTTATGGGCTGAGCAAGGCCGATGGCAGCCTAACTCCATCCACCCAGCTGTCAGGAGCCAGAGCGAGAAGCAGGCGGCGACCCGCAGCTGGGCGAGTGTCAGCCTCTGTTCTGAGCACAGGGTAGAGGTGGCTGCATCCGAGGTGGCAGGGGACTTGCCAGCCACCAGAGCAGGCCCTCTGAGCACTCCACGCAAGAGGCCCTGGACCCCACGTCAGGTTCCTACAGGAGAGGTCATGATGATCTCTTTTCTTAGAGAATAAAACCAACGTGCAGAGAGGTGAAGTCCTTTGTGTAGGTCACCAGCTGGCAGGCGGCAGAGGGGAGATTTGAATGTGGGGCGGCAGGACACCCTGCAGTCCCCATGGTCCCCGTGGCTGGGATGCTGGTGGCTTCTCAAGCCACTGACCGGCCTGCCCGGGTGGAGCTGGTTTCTTCTGGTGACAGCGTGGCTTTGGCCATGACCACTACTTGGGCTGTGCAACCTCGGGCAAGTTGCTTCCTCTGTCTGAGCTCTGGTGATGTGGGAGAAACGCTTTAGCACAGGGAGCGCTCTGTCCGCGTGAGCACAAATCCCAGGCCCTCCGCCGCCGAAAACACCATAGCCAGGGTGTCGCAAGACTGGCTGATAATCCTTTCCCTTGCTATTTAGTGTCTAAATCACCAACCCCAGATTTGTGGCTGCCATACACCGAGCACACTGTGCTACACCCACCCTTTCTGGAACCATGCCCTTTCTAAATTGCCCCCCTTCTCCACCTGCTCCCCCAAAGGGCGATTATTGCTAATTCAGACTAAAGTGTGATTGACAGCACCCTGGGGGTCTTGCCACCAGGATCATGGTAATTGGCAGAATTTCAGTCTCAGTCTAAGGGTTGCTTTTGGTGGAAAACTTGAAGAAGCCGGGGCTCCTTGGGGAGTTCTGAGTAGCTCCCTGGCCTGCCTCCCTCCTGAGGGTGACCCTGGGTCCAGCCCTTCCCCATTGCACACCTGCAGTTGAGGGTGCCAGTGGATCCTGACGTTGTCAGCAGACTGAGCTCAGGAGGTGAAGCATGCGGCCGTCCGTGGTGGTGACCTGCCAGCCCCACGCCCACGCTAGCGGCCCAGCAGGCTGGACTCCAGGCCTTTACTTCTGAGGCAGGGTCTGGCGCTGCAACCCAGTCAGCCTGGAAGCCGTGCTCCTCCTGCTCAGCTCTCACCCCCCAGTGCCAGGTCTGCTTTGAGGCTCCTCTCCACTTCCTGCTGCCCCAGGGGGCCCAGGCAGCCCCGCTCTTGCAGCTGGATTGGCCCAGCTGCAAACCAGGCCTTTTGGGGTTTTGGTTAAAGCTCACGTCTCAAGAAGAATGTCATGGACTGGGGGTGTAGTGTAGCTCAGTGGTAAGGTGGCGCCTAGCATGTGCAAGGCCCTGCGTTCCATCCCACTGAAAAAAGAAAGAAACAAAAAAAGAAAAGAGTGCCAGTGCCCACTCCCTGCCACCAGATCCTCACCATTTGAGAAGCCACCAGAGCCCCAGGTTGTTTCTTCCTTCCTATGTCTGCTGTGGCTGCTGTCTCTGCCAGAGCACCCTCCCCTTCCTCCTGCCTACTTCCTCCCCACTGCTCCGACCTCCCAGGGAAGGCCTCCCTCACCTGCTCAGGCTCAGACCTCCCAGGGAAAGTCTCACCTGCTCAAGGACGCAGATGACAAGTGTAGGTGCCCATAGATGTGGGGAACTGAGACTGAGTGTCTTAGCTCCACATCCTCACCCAGCACACAGAGGAGCTCATTTGATGTTGGAATAAGTGAGTACCCCACAATCATGGCAGACAGCACAACTATTTTTTTTTTCTTCTGCCAAAGGTTGAACCCAGGGCAGCTGCTTTATTATTTGAGCCACGCCCTTGGTATTGTGGTTTGCAATAGGGTCTCACTAACTGCCTGGCCTGGCCTAGAACTTGTGATCCTCCCGCCTCTGCCTCTGCCTGCGAGTAGCTGGGATTACAGTTGTGTGCCACACCAGCTAAAACCCACTAATGTTCACTGGGACGCTGCCTGCCTGTGGGGCCCTGTTGAAACCTCAGAGGGCAGTTTAGTGTTGAGGCAGCCCTTGCGCCTGTTGTGCCCGCGGGGCTCAGAGGTGTGGAGTCTGTTGCCTGAGCCCCACAGCGCGAAGTGGCAGAGCTGGGGTTCAGTCCTACGTCTGTCTGACTCTGATTCTGGAAGGAGGTGCAGGGGTGGGTAGGGAAACTGAGGCAGAGGAGGGCTGGGTCCCATAACCAAGAAGTGAGCAGAAGGGGCTGGAACCAGGCCTTTGGGGTTGTCACAGGCCTTTGGAGGACAGCTGTTTCCATGAGTTAGGAAGGGCCGGTGCCCAGGGCCACGGGTAGGGAACGCCGGGTGTCTGTGGAGGGCCGGCATGGGGCCCTGACCACTGTCCTCTCCATCCCTCCGCAGATGTGAGCCAGGCGGGCCTGCGGCTGACCCGTGCGCGGCCGTCGCGTGTCTGAAGCTCCCCGCGGCCGGCATGCGGCTGTCGGTGCGCAGGGCGCTGCTGGCCGCCGGCTGCGCACTGACCCTGGTGCTGGTGGCGCAGCTGGCGCGGCAGGCGCTGGAGTGCAGGGCGGCGCAGCGCGGCCCGCGCCCGGCCATGCGGCCCGAGCAGGAGGAGCTGGCCGTGCTGGGCGCCGACCGCGTGGAGTACCGCTACGGCAAGGCCATGCCGCTGGTGTTCGTGGGCGGCGTGCCCCGCAGCGGCACCACGCTCATGCGCGCCATGCTGGACGCGCACCCCGAGGTGCGCTGCGGCGAGGAGACGCGCATCATCCCGCGCGTGCTGGCCATGCGCCAGGCCTGGTCCAAGTCCGGGCGCGAGAAGCTGCGGCTGGACGAGGCGGGCGTGACGGACGAGGTGCTGGACGCCGCCATGCAGGCCTTCATCCTGGAGGTGATCGCCAAGCACGGGGAGCCGGCGCGCGTGCTGTGCAACAAGGACCCCTTCACGCTCAAGTCCTCCGCGTACCTGGCGCGCCTCTTCCCCAACTCCAAGTTCCTGCTGATGGTGCGGGACGGCCGCGCCTCTGTGCACTCCATGATCACGCGCAAGGTCACCATCGCCGGCTTCGACCTGAGCAGCTACCGCGACTGCCTCACCAAATGGAACCGCGCCATCGAGGTGATGTACGCGCAGTGCCTGGAGGTGGGCGCGCACAAGTGCCTGCCCGTGTACTACGAGCAGCTGGTGCTGCACCCGCGCCGCACCCTGCAACGCGTGCTGCGGTTCCTGGGCATCGCCTGGAGCGACGCTGTGCTGCACCACGAGGACCTCATCGGGAAGCCGGGCGGCGTCTCCCTGTCCAAGTGAGTGAGGCCCGAGGCACGCGCGCACACACACACACACACACACACACAGAAACGGGTGCCTCCCTCCCTTCTGCTGAAGATACACTCTGTCTCCCACCTCTCCAAACATGGGCTCTGCGTCTCTCTGCCCACCCCCCGACCCAGGCCCAAGATGGCTGTGCAGCCTGGGGCAATCTCTGTACCTCTCTGAGCCTCTACATCCTCCGTTGACAAGGAAGACCTGGGAGTGGTGATTAAAGGCAGAGCCTGCTCGGAAGGGGGTCTCCACCTCATAGCCCCGCAGCACGGAGAAAAGCTTCTTCCTTCCTGAGCCCCACTTTCATGACCCAAAAAAAATGGCAACAGTCCCTGTTCTCTGGGGGAATGGTGGAACTTGGAACATGGTCTGGGGGGGCAGGAGAGGGCAGAGGTGAGGGGAGGGCGCAGACGCTGTACCCACCCTGTCTGGTTCACCCCCAGATTTCCCATCTCCTAGCTGTGTGACCTCGGGCATATAACTCAACTTCTGTGTGCTCTGTGTGCCCCGCTGTAATGGGGGTGATGGTCTGTGTACCTTACGGTATCTCTGAGCATCATATAGGGTACACACATCAAGTGCCACGACTCCTGTCACTGCCAGTGTCAGTATTACCTTCACCGCAGTGCTAGCAACACCACCACAAGTACCGACGGGGCCAGGCAGTGGGGGACACGGGAGCTGCTCCGACCCCCAGTTTAGAGGTGAAGAAACTAATGGCAGAGAAGGTGCAGACCTAAGGCCACTCAGCTACAAAACGTGGGGTGGGATTTGAACCCAGGTGTTCTGCTACTAAGCTCATGTCCAACCAGAAGGGGTGTCAAGTAACAGTGTTGTCTGCATGTCTCTTGACGTCCACCATCCTCGTCTCCCAGACCCAGAGTGCTGGAGCGCTCCAGCAGCCCCGTGCTGTCTCCATGTGTCCCCAGCCTGAGGGCCCAGCGGCCCTGACAGCGTGAAAGGGCAGCCCCCCTCCCCGCATGGCCCTTTCTCCTACAGCTGGTCCCTGCTGGCCACCCCACACAGCAGGCACACCCCACAGGCTAGGATTCCTGCACCTGGACACTCCCGCAGGCTGGGCACCCTGTCAGTTGGTGCTGGAGCACTTTGTTTGTTTTAACGTATTTGTTCCTCAAAACAGCTCAACAAGGTGGGTATTTTATTATCCCCAGTTACAGATGAGGAAATTGAGGCTCCGAGAGGTGACCGCACCTCTCTGCCAAGGCCACACGGCGGCATTTGGACCCAGAACTCTGGCTCTGGTCAGTCCATCCGCCCTCCTGTGGGAGAAAGGCTGGCGGCCCTGGAAGGCTGAGATGCATGCCTGTGGGAGTTGACATTAGTGCTTGATCTTGGGGTTTTTTTTGTTTTTTAGTTTTTTTCAAGAATAAATATTCATGTAAGCCACAGACTGGAAAAATTACTTTTAAAACTTCAGAGAAGTTGGGAGCCGATGACTCACGCCTGTAATCCTTGCTAATCTGGAGGCAGAGATCAGGAGGATTGAAGTTTGAAGCCAGGCCAGGCAAAATAGTTCGCCAGTCCCTATCTCAAAAAAAACCCATCCAAAAAAAGGTCTGGTGGAGTGGGTCAAGGTGTAGGCCCTGAGTTCAAATCCCAGTACTGCAAAAATAAAAAAAACCATCTTCAGTGAAAACAGCTCTTTGCACCAACAGTGCACCATGAACCCCTTTCTGACCCCACCTCGTGCTCCCCCTGCACACAGGGCAGCATCTGCAGTGTCACGGCTGCTAGGGGCAGAACCAGTCAGGGCCAAGGTCTTCCCAACATTCCCACTGCCCCAGTGTGGCCGAGCAGGGACCCCGCCCCGCCCTCAGCAGACTGTTCTGTGTCACCAGGATTGAGCGGTCCACCGACCAGGTCATCAAGCCAGTGAACCTGGAAGCCCTCTCCAGGTGGACCGGCCACATCCCTGGGGACGTGGTGAGGGACATGGCTCAGATTGCTCCCATGCTGGCACGGCTCGGCTATGACCCCTATGCAAACCCACCCAACTATGGCGACCCCGACCCCATTGTCGTCAACAACACACACCGGGTGAGTGAGCGCACTGCGCACAGGGCCGGGCGGGAGTGGAAGCCCAGCTCCCCGGACGGACTTCATTCTTGGGTTCTTGGTGTCTGGTGTGTTTCCCCCTGCAGATGTGCTAAATATAGGGCTGCTCGTGTTTTCCTTTGTGCCTGGGCTGCAAGGAAGCTCACAGCTGCCTCTCCCTCCATAGCATCTAACAGTGTCCACGTGTACCCCACCTGCTCATCTTTTTCTGCTCTTCCCTCCCCTTCCTCCGAGCGCTTGTCCACCTGTACAACCCCTGGGTTGGAGCCCCAGAGCCACTGGAAAAAAAAAAGAAAGAAAACCAAAAGCACAGCTCCTTTGTCCTGTGCTCGCGGGCTGTCGCTTGTCTGTGTGTCTGTGATCAGCACCACCAGTCTCTTATTTACGAGGTTAGAGCTGCTGAGCTGGCCTCTCAAGTGTCCCTCCCCGAGGCCGAGAGGTAAGGACTTGCGGTCCTGTCCACACGCTGCCACACTGCCGGCATCACCTCTGCTTCTTTGGGTGCTGAGGTCATTCTGACCCACTGAGGGCACAGGGGTTACAATCGGATGGTGGCCGTGATAGGAGATGCAGCTGGCGGTCACTGTCCCTCACCGTAGCTGCTGCTGGGTCCAGGAGCAGGGCACTTCTCACTGGTTTGAGGGTCCCCACGTGGCCTGTCCTCCAGGAGCGTGTAAGCACGCCGTGACACACGCCGCCCCCCACACGCCGAGGTGTCCAGCAAGGCACAACCTGCAGTGTGGCTGGGCCTATGAAGCCCATGAGGCGCAGAAACCTGCAGTCATCGTTTTGGTTTGGCCCAGCTGTTCTCAGTCCCAGCTGCTTTTAGAAACTCTAGTCTGGCCTGGTCAGTGCAAAGCTCTGAGTTCAAATCCCATGCTCCCCCCCAAAAAAACCCAAAGTCAGCATTACTTGTGGAGGATCACTAAAGGGGAAGTCATTCTTCCCCCGCTCTGCCTTACGTTTTCACTGGCCCTTGAGGAGAGAGGCTCCCTGCAGCCCAGGGTGGCCTCGAACTCACCCCCTCCTGCCTCAGGCTCCTGAGTGCTGGGATTACAGGCGTGCACCACCATGCTTGGCTTTTAAAGTGTTTTTCTTGAGACACAGTCTCGCTGTGTTGCACAGGCTGGCCTCAAACTCCTGAGCTCAAGCAGTCCTCACACCTAGCTTCCCAAGTAGCTCGGACTGCAGGCATGTGCCACCATACCAGCCAGCGCTAACAGGTGTTTGGTGCCTCTTCAACACTCACTAGTCTCTTTTAACAGTTCATTAACGCTGCCCTCATAATTGCAGTGTTTGCCCCTCTCAGGGCTCACAAGTTCCTCTCCCCCAGATGTCTGTTTACAAACAGATTTTGCAAAGTCTGTTTACTGAGACACTCAGGGTGGCAGACACATCGGCCTGCATTCAACCCAGTGTGGTTTACCTTTATTTTTACTATAAATATTTATTACTCATAATTTTTATTTTACTTATCAATGTTATTCTTTTAACTCTACTGACGTGTTTTGTGTACTTTGCACGCAAACGTGTGTTCACTTAACCATAAAAAATAGTCAGAACATCTCACGATCCTCTCCTGTGTCCATTTCAAACAAACGAAACACGCAAGTAAAAAGAAAATCATGTACCATTTTCTCCAAATAACAACAACAACAGACTGAGTTAAAAACAGTGTAACGATGACGCTGAAACCCAGCCCCAGTGCCTCTGAGAAGTGGTGGCCGTGGCGGGGGAGGCCGAGGCCAGGACTGGCCCTGTCAGGGTCTCTCAGGAAGGGCGGCCCTGGCTCGCCCCAGACCATGGGTTAGAAGCTCCTAGAAGAACTTTAAAGTGTGCTGATTTAAGGTCGAGTCTTTGCAGCTTTTCTGTTTGTTTAAAATTGAAGATTTTCCCAGCAATCTCCTTGGGTCCCCCAGTCTTGTGAGTACTGGACCCAGTGTGAATCGTCCTCGTGGTTCCGAGGTTACTGCCGAGTTCAGTCCCCTCGTGAAAAGCCGTGTGTGAGGGTCTGAATGTCTGCGCCCTGCAGATGAGGGTGTCCACGATGGGTCCTGGCTGCCACAGGTTCAGTGCCGAGGCGCTGGACTGAAGAGATGGCATGGGGCTGGGGCCTTCCTCACCAAGATGGTGCAGACGCACAGGATATTCGAGTTCCAGCCCCAGGGTCTTTGTCCTCACGCTGTCCTCTGCCTGGCTGCTTTCCCTGTCATTCAGGGCTCAGTTCAAGGGCCACCTGTTCCAAGATGCCCCTCTGACCACCACTGACAGAGACCCCCCCCACCCCCATCACTCCTAACCACCCTTGATTCTCATTCTTCATGGAGCTTCCGTGGCTTTAGAGTCCTTGTCCGTCTGTCTGTCTGTGTTCCTTGTTCCCCTCTGCCACGGAAGCTCCTGGAGAAGAAGTATTTCAATGTCACTGTCGTCCCCAGGACTTGGAATATAGGAGCTCAATAAATGGGTGGGTGGGTGGATGGGTGGGTGGGTGGATGGATGGGTGGATGGGTGGGTGGGTGGATGGGTGGGTGAGTGGATGGATGGGTGGATGGGTGGGTGGGTGGATGGATGGGTGGACGGACAGGTTTGTGGTTGGATGGATGAAAAGGTGGGTGGATGGATGGAGGGAAAGATGGGTGCTGGATGATGGTTGAGTGGGTTGGTGGATGGACTGCTGGATAGATAAATGTGTCAGTGATGGATGCAGTGTTAATTTTTGGTCATTTCCACCATAGTGACACTCTTCTCCTCCCTAGGTCTTGAAGGGAGACTACAAGACACCAGCCAATCTGAAAGGATATTTTCAGGTGAGAAGCCTGGGGAGCTCTGCATTGTGACTGTCCTGGCTGTGCCATAGCTTGACGCTGGCCCCAGACACTTGGCTTCTCCACTCTTGCTGACAATTCCCAGTGATAGACTTGGGTGGGGGTTGGGCCAGGGCTGTGCAGCTTCTCACTCAGCTGTGGCCAGATTATAGCAGCCCTGTTCCTGTGCCACTCGTCCCCTGGTGTCCTGGCTCAAATGAGGCCAGAGAGGCTTCGTGGGGACTTTGCTGAACTCCCTGTCTCTAGGCAGCCGTTCCCAGTCACAGCCTGGTGCAGCTCTTCATCCCAGCACCTCAAACTGAGGCACCCAGGTACCAACAGGCACACCTTCCTACGCTCCCAGCCTGTGCCTGTCTCCCCAGCATCCCTGGGATCTCAGGGAGGGGTCTGTGGCCCTTGTCACCATGTGTCCAGAGGTCTTCCTTCCCTTTTTTTTTTTTGGGGGGTGGGTGGGATTAGGTTTTGAACTCAGGGCTTTGCACTTGCAAATGCAGGCCTCTACTTCTTGAACCGCACCTCCAGTCCATTGTGCTCTGGTTATTTTGGAGATGAGGTCTTGAGAACAATTTGACTGAGCTGGCCTTGATCCTCAATCCTCAATCTCAGCCTCCCAAGCAGCTGGGATTACAGGCTGAGCCACTACTCCTGGTCCACAGCAGAATCGCCCCTTTCAAGGACGCGATGGTGCTAAAATCAGTCGTTTCCTGAGAGCCCAGGACCACAGCTTTTGGGCACTTACCCGTCGTTTGGGGAGAGGTCCAGGTTCCATTTGTGGGAACCAGCCGCACTCTTGCACTGTGAGAAAACTTGTCCAGAAGTGAGCACCAGTGGATCTCTGGCTGGGACCCAGAAGATGCTGGGAGGAGAGGAGAGAGGTGGTGAGGGCACAGCTGCATCCTGGATCCCTGTCCCTGTCCACATGGCAGGGCCTTTGCCTGCCTCTGCACCTTGGCACTGGGTGCGGGTCCACTGAGCATCGATGTGTCCTCTGCAGTGACAGCCTCCACGTGCTGGCTTTTACAACCACCATTTGGGACGCCACGTGGAGTTCTCTGTAATCCTGCTTTTTGGCCTCCTTCGGATTCTGACGTCTGAACGTCACTTGTGCATCGTGGTGACTTCACCTCTCTTCTGGGGTGGGGGCTCTGCAGAATCATTGCCTGAGAATACATTTTAAGGAAGCTGGGTGTGGTGGTGCACACCTGTAAGCCCAGCACTTGGGAGGCTGAGGCAGCAGGAGCTCAAGCAGAGATGGTGGGAAGTGTGCAAAGTCTTGAAGAGTAAGGCTAAGGCTTTGCACAAAGATTGGACTGCTTTACGTTCTGCCGCAGTGGCGGCATATGTGGCCATCTGGCTGACCGGGTCTGGCTCTTGCTGCTGTACTGGCCACCAGTCACTCCCCCACTTCCCGCCTCACGTCCACCACTGTCAGATGAGCAGTGAGCAGACATCACAAGGGTGTGGCAGAAGCCAGAAGCGTCTTGGAGGCCCTTCAGTTGGTGGTGGCGCTCCTCCACAGAACCCTGTAGCCATCTCAGGAGGGAGTCGTTAGACCCGGAGGCAAACAGGCTGGGCGCCATGGCTCACGCCTGTAATCCCAGCTACTCAGGAGGCAGAGATCAGAGGATCACGGTTCGAAGCCAGCCTGGAGAAATAGTTCGCGCGACCCTGTCTCAAAACACCCTTCGCAAAAAAGGGCTGGTGGAGTGGCCCAAGGGGTAGAGCACCTGTCTAGCAAGCGTGAGACTCTGAGTTCAAACCCCAGTGCTGCCACACATTAGAACTGCGAGAAATGCAAAAGGGTCTGCGGTCCTTAGGCTGCGGGTGCCACCCTCCCTGCCAGGTCCTTCCTGTCCCCCGCTGCGAACACTCATCCTCCCAGCTGTCTGTGCGCCTGGCCTGGTTGTCGCCTCTCAGAGCTTCACTTGGTTTGCTGGACGCCAGCTGCGGTCGCTCTTCAAGTCCATCCTACCACTAACTCCAGAGCTGGTGTCAGACCCCTGGCCAAGGGCTCAGCCCCACGAGACTGCCCACCTCCAATGCCAGCTGCAGTGGGTGCTGGGCTCCCCACACTTAGGTCCCCACACCCTGGTTTGTTCATTCTAGGACAGTGCACAGGACAGGGACACCCTTTACTTACTGTCACCTGCTTGTCATAAAGGGCACAGCTTGGGAGCTGCTGGTGGAGGTGCCAGGCTGAGGTTGGGGCAGCTGAGTGGGGCGCCCCCAGTCACTAGGGGCTGTGACAACAGCTGATCCCATAGCTGTGCACCATGAACTCAGTCCTTGGCCCTGGCAGTGACTGGTCTCCAGCCCCGTGCCGTCCTCAAAGCTCAGCCTTGGATCCCGCCTTGCTCATGTCCTGATGCCACCCTGACCCCAAAGCTGCCTGGGGTCCCGGCCACCAGTCACCTCCAGCACTCACAGAAGACATTCTTAGCACTTGGGAGCCAGGCGTGGGGACAAGGAGCAGATGTTTATTACACCTGCGTGGCTTAGGTGGCACTGCAGCGTCCCTCCCTGACCCAGCACCTATGTCGGGTGTCAGGCCCCGGGCGCCTGGTAGGCGTGTGGTGAGCTTTTGCCACGATTGCGAGACCCTGGCGTCGTCCCCGGCCCTGACCCCGTCCTCTGCCTGTCGCCCTCCAGGTGAACCTGAACAGCACCTCCTCCCACCTGGGAAAGTCGTGATTTCCAGGTAGGAGCCCCTCGCCTCACCTCGCCTCGCTGGGGTTCCCTGCTCCTCAGTGTGGGAGGGTGACCGCCTTGCCCAGGGACGTGGCTGACCGGGACATCTGAGTTTTCTGGTGACCGACTGGTGACCGACTGGGGCAGCTATTCCTAGACTGGAGGCGTGCCTCCCGCTCTGGATGGGGCAGGGGCTGGGGAGGGCAGGAAGGACCCCGTGATGGGGGTTCGGGAGCCGTTTTCACACAGTGCCTCCACCAAGCCCACTCCTATAAATAGCATCCGGTTCTGTCCCAAGCAGTTCATGTTCTAATAATAGTCACAAACGGTTCTGTCCTAAGAATAACACCCACGGCTTTGGGCCAGGGACGCCTGTGTTCCTCCTTGACCTCCATGTCCCTCCGAGGCTGGGGACACACCTCTGCCACTCACGGGGGGAGCAAAAGCACAGAGAGGGCCCAAGGCCACGCAGCCCGCAACCTTCCAGAGTGGGCTGTGAGCGGCCGATTGTAGGACATTCTTACTCCTTGTTTGTGAAGGGACCGGGGCCGGGGGGAGGGGGAGTTTGAGATCCTAGGATGTGAGAACCACAGTTTCAGTGGCCCTCAACCTGTCCCCCATCATGTGCCCCGCCTCTCTAAAGGCCCAAGGAAACAGGACCTGGCAGAGAGGACAGGGACCAGTTCCTGCTTCCCTTGAGTTGTTTATTTTTACAGTACCAGGGTGGCACCCGAGGCTCCCCTGGGCCCCCAGCCCTGCTGCCTCGTAAGACTGAAACGCAGCTGGGCTGTCTCGGTCCCCACTCGTCCCCTTTCTAAGTCACCGTATTTACTCGCGTTTCCTTTTGTTTGCTTTTGGTGCTACTGAGGATCGAACTCTGGGCTTTGGTAGCCATGCACACTGCTCCTGGGCCTCCAGCCCTCATCGGCCAGCTTTTCACCAACCCGCAGGGCTTGGGGACACCCACTGCCTGTCATTGCCAGGGTCCCCATCCTGAGTTGTGCTAAGACCCGAGTTCTGTCCAATTCCAAGGAGAAGACCCCACTGAGGGCAGCTTTTCCCTGTGGTTCTCCCCACTCCCACCCTCTCGGTCACTTTCTGAGGTTCATTTCGACAATCCTGGACCTACCCATGTCGAAGCCAGGTGTTCCTCAACCGACTGTTTGAGTGAAAAACCACACGGCGCCTTAGCTAAACTCTGTACATAATTGGCCTGCGAGGTCGGACAGAGAGGTGCAGGTTGAGATGTGGGGATGGACCCAGGGGACATTTTTACCTGTCAGTGCCCTCAGCCGTCCGAGACACCACCACTGCATGTCGTGTGAGTGCACAGAGACTACGCGTGCTCTGTAGTCAGCGTGTGGCGAGGAAAGCGTGTGGGATCTGCACCCTGACCTCTGCGGTCTTCTCCCCATTCAGATCCTGCAAATGGCTCGTGGCTGGGAGGGAAGGGCCGCACCGCGTGGAAATCGGACCTCACCAAGCATATTGCTTGCTGCTAATCGCCAGGACACGTGTGCAAATGCTTGCACCAGCCGTCCTTGGAGCCGCACCAGGACCCTCTGGACGCTCCACAGTGGGCAGGCAGTCCTCCTTGTAAACTTCAGGCGTTTTATATTTTTCCCCCTCAAGAACTTTTTTTAAGAAAAAGAGTTGCGTGCTCCTTAATTTGCAGATGGCCTTGGTGGCTTTGTTCGCTGGGACAAGGCCCACGACCTGTGCCTCTCCTGTGGACCTTGACTCTGACCTCAGAGACTCTATTTAAGAATTTACTATGAGGCTTTCTCCAATTCCTTCCTCAGTTGTACTCCGTTTCACAGAGAAAAAGAAATTATTTCAATAAAGTAAGCAGGGGCTCCTTTGTCTGTGCCTTGCTGTACACTGGGTGAATTGGCGGTTTTTATTTATGTGGGTTTTCAGAGGCCGTACTGGGGTTTGAACTCAG